AAAGTTTGTGTGGCCCTAATAATCTCATGTGTGGTCATAACCCCACACAGCTAAGTTATATGAATGGAGGATACGAGCCCTCGAGGGTATGTATTGATTTACATCTATGCAGTTGCATTGCACCGGGGAATGCAACACTTCTGCCAGTGATGGGAATTCAGCAACTCTGAGATGAGTCAACCTGGATCCACAGTAACTCGGCATAACTTTTATCTTCCTCTTTCTCCTCTGCAACAAAATTAGTTGCCTCTATGACTTCATCTTCACACGGTATCTCTGCCATCATTTCTTCTGTAGTTTCTACTTCCATTAAGCTATCTCTATCTCTTTCAGAAAGTTCACGTAACACTTCCCTCATACTCTGTGGTGTCGCTGGCCTATCTTCAGGCCCATATTTTGGAGCAGGCACGACAAATGGCAAGACAATATCATCCAAGTTTGTGCTATTGTCATTTCTAATGCCTTTGTTTTCTGCTGGAGGAAACACGAAAATGATCCCTAGTTCATAGTTACTGACATGAAGTCTCGTCACCAAAGGAGAGTTGGCTCCAGTTCTTATGCCAGTTGAACTGGAAATTGGCCGTCCCCAGGCTGCTGCGCTGAAATTGTGAGATCCACAGTAAACCCAACCAACAGAGGATGCCTCTGTCTTGGACCAGAAGCGCCTTCGTGCCACCTGCTTGCATCATGCTCAAATGTGAAAGGTAGCTTATGAAATCAAAATAAATATTATAAAATATGACAGACAGAATCTGTGAAATTGTTTGTTCAGAAATTTCTGATCATTTGAAAAGGGTGTTCCTTACCTTTACATGCATTGGATGCCCCACTCTATGATGGGGATAGGGAATTGCATCATGAAATATGTCCACAGTTCTCAACTTTTGCCATGTTTTCTGAACAACAGAGAAATATCAGGAACAAAAACTTGAAACAATAGTAACCATATAATAACCATAAATCATAATCTCACTCTCAAAAAAAGAGACTTTGCTTAAACAAATAAAGTATATAGGATGTAACATGGTGTATCTTTTCCTTTTTTCTCTCTTTTTTTTTTTTTTTTCGGGTGCCAGTTAATGTGGCTCTAAGCCAAAAAGTTTGCAGGATAGAGGACTTGTGGCAACTCAACCTCAATTAACTTAACATGATGAGTTGGAGAAGAAAGAAAATAGTTTCTATGTGGTTAGCAAGGGCCGACATTCACATTTGAAATAATAATAATAATAATAATAGGCAGGCCAGAGAGCATGGAAAGTCTATTTTGTCTCCTTCCTTTTTGAAAGAATGAAGAACTTTACAATATCCATTTCTCTACCCTAAATATCCTTGGACTTCTAATAATATATACACTATTCCATTTAAAACTACTGTTTTAGACAAATCAACCTTACCTCTGAGAAGCAAAGAATTTGTCTTGAAGGATGGATTCCATTACATGCATTCTTCACTCTATCAATAGTAGGATACAGGATTCTAATGGATGGGTTTCTCAGTTCTTGACTACAAGTCCAGCAGCCCCACTGTAAAATGAAACCACACAACTAAATCCATTGAAAAACATGATTTCTAACATTTCATACTTAAAGCTAAATCACAGAATTCTGTTACGTCTGGATCAGACTCTTCTGAGTCATAAAGTTGCAATGATCTCTTTCCAGAAGCTGCAGCAAACGCAGCTAAAAACTGTGCATTGACAGAGCCAATCGAGGATGCACCTGGAAAAGAGAACATGCATATAATAATCAAATAAGAGGGAAATAAATAGACAATATATTATTGATTTTCCTCAAACTTACCGTAAATAAAATCAGATTCTTGTGATTCAGGCCACTTGTATCGACCTAAAACCTTAAAAAATACAAAAGAAGTCAATACATGAGCACCAGAGATTCCTACAGAAAACATAGGCTTTTGGCAGTCAGAAATGTCAATGATTGATGATTCTATGGATTATTTTCAACTCTTTTACAAGATGTACACCATTTAAGATCAATTTTTTCCAATAACTTATGAAGGTAATTGCTTGAATAATTCCATTTCCTACACCAACCAAGATCCAAATGCATTAACCATTGAGAAAGTTTTGCAAAGCCTCACTAGGATGTTTTTTCCATCTTAATGTCTGTAACAAAAGTGATGGATGCTCAACAAAGTGCCTTTGCTAAGTGCAGTTTACACAGAACTCCTAAAAGAGGTATGCTACAACAACCCAGGATATTCACTATTTTAAAGGTTAGAATTATTGAATAAAACCTGAGTATTATTTACAACCTGTCAGATATGCTAATTAACTTCTGATCACACAACTCACATCCAACAATCAATTTGACGAAGAAACAGTTTCTATAAACAAATTTTGGAACAATAGACTATGACTGTTATTTAAGACTAGTAATTAAGCAATGGAAAAAAACACCAAATCATTAGACCTCAATCTTCAAATAACCAAGTTTCAAATTGAAACAAGAAAAGTATATCTGAAGCACATTCATTGGCAGTAAGTGTAAACACACACAGAGGAAACCATTCTGAGGAGGAGCATTTTGAGGGGAAAGTGTACAAAAGTGTAAACTACAGGCAGAAACATAACAACCAAAATTTACTGGAAGAAGTAAGAGGCAATTTCTTCCACCGCCTTACCTCTTCTAGCCGCCAGAGGCCTACACACCTCTGAACTGAAGCAATGAGAGAGCACAATGCAACAAAAAGTTCAGGTTGTATCAGCTTTGATATATCTGAAAAGCATGGTCCCTGCACAGAATAGATCTATTTAATATCTTTTATGTATGTAAATTCCAAAATACCAACAGCTAGCATTTTAAAATTAGCTAAAACTTTTATAACATGATAACAAATTATATGGCAGAAGTACCATGCCTGTGACACTAGCAGTATCAATTGTACTTTCATGTTATTTCCTCCAAAAGCAGCAGCAAGTGCCTCATCACAGTACAAAAATCCATGGAACACAAATAATCCGATATCCCACAATGGAGAAACCCATTTTGCAACATTTCTCGGCAGAAAACCAAGTTGAATGCAATCTACTGCAAGAAACAGAATAACATGATTACCTTAGTAGTTACACTAATGAAGAATTACAAATTATAAACATTAAAAAACAAGGGGAGGGGGGTGGAATCAAATACCAAGCATCGAAAAAAGGAGCTTGAACCCACAAAAAGGAAATCCATAGACAACATTTGGATATAAAAACAAAATATATGATGATTTAAAGAAACATCATAAGTGTTTCCAAGAAGTTTACACCTTACACAAGCAATATATGGGATAGAGCCCCAGCCATATATCCCTTTTAGATATTTAATTAATGAATTTAGGGTCTGAATATTAAATCTGGCACTTTTTGGGAATGATATCAGTGACAACACCAAATCCCTCCTTAACTTCTAACCAAAATGACAATTTCATTAAATGTCCATGATGATTGATTTCTCCTGTTTTTCTTGGTATGCCTGGTGACAATTTCCAACAAAGCTCCGATAAGGAGAATTCAAAAGACAAGAAAATACCAAGTCTCATGGCATGTGTAATTCTATGTGGTTTCTGATAATTTAAAGTTATTCCTACAAATGTAGTGCTGAAGATATTTCTGTAATACATGCTATATCCACTTAATATGGAATAGGCATACTGATTTATCAATGTCATCAATGTTGATAAAATGCCCATTCAAATGTTGTCACAATAAGGAAAGTAAAATATTACCTCCTCCAGAGAGCTCATCAGGGTTGGGAACAAGAACACTGACAGCATTCTCATCTGCAGGGATGTTAGAGGCTCTTCTCAGAACGATATCCAACATTCCATATGCATTTTCATGAGATTTCCCAAGATATGAAGCCAGTTTCTTAAGCTGTGCACCATTTGAGTCTGCTGCAGTGCGAAAAAGGTGGCTTAACCCTACAACAGATGCTTCAACCAGACCAAGGAACTTCTCACAATATAACAATGGACAAAAGTGTTTAGCCTGAAATGATACATTATTGTTACACAGGAGACAGACAGATGCCCAACACCAATGCCCAGTTTTCCACATAGCCAACAATAATCACAACAAATCTTTCTAAATAGTGCATCAGAAATGAAAGAACTTACAGGCATAAAGTGCATGGACTGTGGAGTTCTGAATGAATAAATTCCAGGTACTGACGCAACTAGGTGTCCCAATGCACCACTAAAATCATATTTGGTCAACTCGACAATCCAGTGGGCCTGACTAGGTATATCAACAATAAGAGAAGCAACAAAGCCAGCTAGCTGAGCAGCAAAATCAGATCCTAAATCGTGATTTATTCCTTGATCAGGAAGTGGGAAAAGAGACAAATAATCAGGCTCATTTCTACGAGGAAAATCTTGCCACCATACTGTGTTGGTCACAGTATCCCACTGCAGTAGTCATAAGAATTACAGAATTAACATGGAATTTTATGCCATTGGACTGGTTGCTCTTAGCAAGATGAATCACAAATGATGTCATTCTCAGAAAATATACAAACTAATGAAATGAGTGTATCTATTATGATTATACAATCCATTCCATACTCGAATATATAGATGAAGGAAATACAATATGGCAGGAAGGTAACTCTCAAATATAAAATCTAAGATAAGAGATACAACATGCATAATCATGCCTGCCCAAGCAAAGTTGCGAAATAAGTTGATTGATGAGAGATTTGGGTTCTTCTATTATCTGACACAAGCAGGCACATGAACAGCTATGCACACACATGGACATGCAGAAACAGTGCAACTTAATCAGAAGTGTGTGCAAAGGATCCATTAGCAAACAGAGAGATAAATACATCTAAAAAAATCTACCATTTGGCATTTTCTAAAACTTACAGAATCCCAAGTTAACAAAACCTCGGTAACCAAATGTCCATAAGCCAGGAACTTCAAAATTACTGTATATAAAAGATCTTCAGAGAAGCACTCAATAATTACAAAATTCAAAACTTATGTCTGCAAGCTAAGCAGCCCCATGATTTCAAAGACAAAACATAACTCTTTCTGTAATGTTCTGGAGAAAAAGAAAATGCTAAAGTATCCTAACTAAGGGTTGATATTGTACAATGAAACTCCTTAAAAACTTTAAGTAATATGTAGCTAGCAATGTATTAAACAATCAATCACCTGCTTAGGTACTAAGTTAGCAGAAGTAATGACAACACGAATACTATCTTCTCTTTGCAAAATAAGAAGTTTTGGGTGATGGCAAGCAATGCCTTGTCTCTTACGATCATTACCAAAAGCAATAGCCTCGGGAAACGGAGGAAACCTAAAACAAAAATTGCAGTATGTTACAAGAACTGTGCATAATACAACTGCAGCAGGTGGTATCAATCAGCAAAGTAAATCACTTTCTCCTAAAATGATAAATAATAAAGAAGTTTACTTACACTAGAACTAAGTTAGGAAAGTTTGGAAAAGGCATGGAGGCTCTTGATTCAGGGCTTGAGCTCCAACATCTCTCCGCATTATGACAAGCAACTGTTACAGGTAGATTGGAAGGAATCTGACAGCATGACAAAAACCTACAAACATCTCACTATTTAGACATGAACTTAAATTAGGATTACATGTAGCTAGAATTTCACTGTTTAGAAAAATTTTAAATCTTACGTGTAGATATTTTGAAATATGAATAAATTAACTAAAAACAGTTCAGAAATAAGGGTGCAGATCTACGAGCAGCCAGATCTTAGTGATTTTATTTAAATTCAGATGCAAAAGCAAGCAGATAAGCATGCCATGGTACCAGCTAAAAATGTTGAATGGGTATCAAATCTCTGTGTAGGCTAATGAAATGGAGATGTCAGGAAATAATAATAAAAAAATTTTAAAATTAACAAAGAGGTGGACAACTTTACCATAAGATATCACTTGTAAATGTTGCAATGAATATCTGTGAAATGCTTTGAACAGGATGAAGAAGTTCTGGCAAGGAAACAGTGTGTTGGCAACTAAATGAATCATGGTCCATAAATTCAAGGCGGTTCAGGTAAAACTTCTTCCCTGGTGGTGAATGAAAATTAGTTGAAATATTTCCCTTTCCCCCAGAATCAATATCGAGAGCATCTTTCTGAGCAACAAAGTTCAACAATGGCATGCCAGGCTCATCACTGACTACAGCATTCCCACCAATGACTCCATGATTGCCCCTTTCATCTGCATGATTGCTAGGAACAGAATCATCAAGTAAATTATTCTCCGCTTCCAAAGCTGCCACTTTTCTACGTTTAAGTGTGACTGGAGTGGAATGTACTGCCTGGCCCCTTTTATGACACGACTGTGATTCTTGCCTATAGGCAGGAAAAAGACTAGTCACCTCTTCTTCTTTGGACACTGGAATTCCCACCCTACCACTTAATGTCAATCCTCGCAAGATGGAATTATAAGTATGCATGCCTTTCATTCCAACATTTGAAATATTGCATTGCCTAATGCAACATATGGGGTCATCACTATGCAATATGTGCCTGCACAAACTTAAGAGGAAATTTGCCCTCCTGATAACATCACCACACTTCAATTTAGAAAAACCATAATGCGAAGTAATAACATTAGCAGGATTAGCAAAAACCCTTTTGCTCCTTTTCCCACTAGACACAGTTCCTTGGGAACTGACCATCCCAAGTACATCCAGCATCTCCCCTGCAACCTCATTTGCTCCAGAAACCACCTCCTCAAAAACAATCCCTTGAATCAAAAACCCAACTCTAACCTCAAAATTACACACACTTTCATTTCCACAAACAAGCGAAACATCATCACCAGTCAACAATTCTTTAACCATACCTTTCCTAAGTCTAACCCCATTTACATATACCCCATTCAATGAAACCCTAAACCTACAACACCCTACACCCTCTCCCTTTTTCTCTTCCAATTCATTTTCACATATTCTTTTCCTAAATTCATCAACAACAGAACTAACGCCACGCAACAAAATTGCCCCATCACTTATCAATATTTTCCTGCCAACCCCATCAAATAAAATCTGACAGTGTTGCTTACTCACAAAGCGGTTATCGAACAGGAAGTCACAGGACTGGTGGGTTCGCCCGATCGTATAAGGACGATCTGGTTCAAGGCGGAGCGAAGTGAGCGGCGACCCAGTAGACGGGGAAACCAGAGGAAGATCGAAGCACCTCAATTCAACAATTGCGGATTTTAGTACAATCTTCGACTTCTCCCGAATCACCATCAGTTCTATTGTTATTATTTCATAACAGAAATGAATAAAAGAAATCAACAAACAATTTCAAATAATGTTCAAACTTCAAATTTAGATTGAAAAAAAAAATAAAGTAATTTGAGAAAGAATTATGGAATTTGAGAGGGGAAGAGGGAAATTGGAAAACCCCTCTGCCCTAAAATTTGGTTTCCTTCCCTTCGGGTTTGATTTTCCCTCCTAATTTTTAACGTGTTTGGGGATTAAGTTTTTAGTGTCTGTTTGGATAACTTTTAGGCCGGCATTGGGATATCATACACTGGTTAGGAATAGAACTATAGGAGTACCATTTTTATGGTCCCTAAACTTTGTGAATTTTTCTGAATTAGTCTCTCAACTTTTTATGGTATCTTTTTGACCCTCTAACTCACAAATTTGGCACAAAAAAAAATGGTCTTTTATATTGAAAAAAGAGTTTGAGTTACTAACTAAGTTAATCAACAAATTTGGAGAGAAAAATTAAAAGAATGGATAGGAGTTTCAAAAGGTCAATTAGAATCATTTGATTGTGAGGGAGAGACCATTTTGGAACCAATCTTAAGAGTTGAGTATCAAAATGAAATTATGAAAAGCTTATGGATCATTTTGGTGCAAAATCATAAAGTTAAGGGACTTTAAAAAGGTATTTAAATCTTAGGAAAATAATAAAAATAAGTCCTCTATTTACACACTTTTTTAGATATAGTCCTTATTGTTTTCCCTAGGTCAATGAAGTCTTTATTGTTTTCCCTAGGTCAATGAAGTCTTCTATCTTTTCAACATAGGTTGGAACTTTTTTTCGCACACACACAAAGATAGAGGATGGAAGAGACCAAGTATGGCCCCCCAAAAAATTTCGAAATCTTTGTAAGGCCCTTGGGTCTTTTATTAATTGGTGCCTCAAGAATTTACTTTTTGTAAGTTATATCCTTAAAAAAAATTTGGCCCCCTAGTGTCTCACTCAAGCTCTATCCTTGGCCAGAATTTCTCAAACCAACTTTTATGGTGATTTTATTTCCTATGGAAATGGTTAGGTAAAACTAGGCTGTCAACCTTCAGATTTGATTATCCTCGTTGTTGATCCAATTAAATCATCTCAACAGAAAACTAGATTAAAAAAAAAATGAAAGGTAATAGAAAAAAGTATATTGTATGCCCCATTTTAGTAGAATATCATTGTTCAAACTTCAAAGTGATTTCCAACCATGGCATAAGAAAAGGTGTTTTCGCTGAGCTAATTGGGCAAATGAGTCAGTTGCATGCTCCATTTTAGTAGTATATCACTGTTCAAACTTCGAAGTAATTTCCAACGTTATCATGACATAAGAAAAGGTGTTTTTGCTGAGCTAATTGGACAAATGATTCATGCACTGGTCCTTCCTTTTTGCATGCATATGGTCCAGGGACAGAGGATAATGGGGGTACGGGCGGCCACCCTTTTGGAAAAAAATTAATACTTTTAGTATTTTATTAAAATTTTAGTAAGTAAATTAATATATATTTAAATTTAGTAAAATAGTGAATATTAAATTTAAAAGTGCTAGTACATATGGTAAAAAGTTAACTTTAATATTTTTTTGAAATTATAAAAAATAGATCTACAAAGTGTTCTTGTTTTTTCAGTTATTATTAAAAAATAATATAAAGTAAATATTTTTTTTAAAAAAAATCATAAAAGTAATTTTTAAAATCCCTAATTAACCCGAAAATTTCTAGAGTTAAACTCTACTTGTTCCCTCATTCATTCCTCTTTTTATAATAGAAACATTATATTTCATAAAAACTTTATTAAATTTCTTTTTATCTTTCTCTGACTTTTATTATATGTTATTAATATTTTTAAGTGATTAAATAGTTTTAATTTCTAATGATAAAAAAGATAATCTGATTTCTTACTTCTTTTAAATATCGATCATATATAATTTTTAAGTTGGCTATAATACTCACTTTATGAATGAAATAATTTAATTTTATAGTATCATCTTTCATATTAATAGATAATTTTATTTCATTATTATTAAATTATAAATAAAACTTACAATTTTTTTCATATTTTTTTATGGAACCATAAACTTAAATTATTTCATTGTTAATTAAAATTTCATCTATAACTCTTATAATGTGAGTAAATAAAATAATTTAATTTTATAATATCATATTTTTTTGTTGAATCATTTTTCATTTTATATTTATATTTAATAAAAAAAAGTTTTGACCCCCTCTTAAATTTTGGTCAACCTTCGTCTTGTCTGTTGGTAACTTGAAATTTTTTTTTTATTTTTGATAAGGGCAATAATTAAAAGTTAAAAGGTAAGTTAGTACCTTACTCTTGATAAAACTTGATTACTAGTCAGGTGTGCAATCCATCAGCAGTTCTGTTGGGTTGCAGTGGCCACCAATGTACCACAACAGGAGAATGCGTTGGTAACTTGAAATGGTCAGACAGATCTGTAATATTCTAGGATCTTCTTTAGCTTTTTTTTTTTTTTTTTGAACAGCTAGGACCTTCTTTAGCAAAAGTAACCCAAAGTTTCTTTACATTGCAAGACCTTTATCCAGCAATTGTTTTGTCACTCTCAAAAAAGTTGATTTTGAAATAATTTGATTAATTTGTAACCTAGGATAATTATCTTGGAATGCTGATAATTAGTTTCATTGTTTTGGATAAGTGATTGTAGTTAAGGAAAATGTTTTTTATATAACTTTTTTATCTCATTTTTTTGTAAATGATTATCTTAGAATAATTATCTTAGAATTGTTTTGTATCATTAAAATGATTTATTTTTTTAATTCATATAAGATTCGTAATATTAAATGTATCCACTCATTTAATGACATGTAAAAATTATATAAAAAGATGAGATAAAAAGATTATCTCAATAGCACCACCTTTCTAGTTAATTCGACTATTCTAAGATATTTGGGTCAAATCATCAAAGCATTGTAGATTTTTTTTTAACAGTCGAAATTTGGGGGGTGAGGGATTTAGTTAACTGTTAGGATTGTTAATGAGTTTAATCGAATTATTTATGAACTACTCTACTTATTAATAGCTTATTAGTTGGGTTTAAAATTCAAATTTAAATGCCATATCACAACCTCTAACTTTAACTACTAATTTAGATTTTTTTAGCTGATGGATCCTAACTTAATTTGTTGAGATTGCTTACTTTTGAGTCTCAACATATTAGTTTTTGTTATCTAAGTCTTGTATTTTTTTTTTTTTTTTGTGTTAGATGATGAATTATATGATAATAAATAATTTTTACCTTTTTAAACTCATCTTAACCCATCTTAAAATTTAAATTTTAAATTTTAAACATGAAAACCTAAGTTTTTAATTACTAAAATATCTTTTTAAATATGCGAATAAATTACACTATCTTAACACTTACGCTACTAAATAATAGGATATAACTTATTTTTGAGGAGCCAAGAATTTTAAAAATCTTCTTAAGATTTAAATTTAAAAT